TTCAACTCCGAAGGAAACTCCTCTGCCTGCCGCAATTTCGTAGCCTGTCCCACGGGTCTTACTTCCAACACGTGGTCCGTCACATGTATGGTTATATTACGCCACAATGAAGCATCCGACGCAGTGTCCAGTGCATCCTGTGTCCCAACATTCATACGGCATTTAACCCAGTGTCCACATGCATGTACCTAGCCTAGCGGTTACGTGACACATACGAGCACACGGCACACACCACTGATGAGGAAGTACGCGGTTGCAGGACTCCACGGTCACAGCGTAGGAACGGGTAGCCGTACCACGAGCACAACGAACTAACCATTGCGGACCAACATCCTGGACAGCAGGGATACGTGCGTTCCTCCAATGTCTCATAAATTGCTTGCGAGCGAACGGAAAACGCGAAACATTCGGTGCTGCCAAGGACAATTCAGGGGTGGTATGTAAGTGGACGCGATATGCCTACCAAGAGTTTGCAGTCTCTCCTGAATCAACGTGTTTACAGATCAAGCACCACCGTAAAAAGAGTATGCAGGGAAGACTGATTGGTAACCAGCCTCTTCAGGTGATTGTTCTCCTTCTCAACCAGATTGGTTGTAGCGCAACCGAATAGGCACACATCGCTCAATCTGTGAGCAGCCCAGGACGATGTACATGGCAGCCACGTTCGCTGTAAGTAACTATAGCATTCCGCATTCCTCGCCGCTATCGCCCTCAGCAGTCTGTCGAATTGCTCCGCATCACGTGTATAGATCAATTTATGCAGGCAGTGCCGCAGAAGGCTTCTGTCTGCTGAACTCGTTCCCGAAAGACGAGTAACCCGGCGGGACATATACCTCAGCACGTGAAAACGGAAATACCCCACCGACGAGTTAGGATTAACCAAGGTCATCGTTCGCACCTGGGCCATGCATTTATCCATTACAAGGGTTCATACAGATTCCGTGCAAGGTAGCATTTCTTTCATCGCTTCCACAGCTGGCCGGTAGCTGTGGTACGTCTCATTCGGCAGCAACGCATAGAAAAAGAATGCGCCACACCAGTTACATCCACCAGCATACAGTGCCACAAAATATATCCCCCATAATTCACTTGGTGAGTCGCGTCCGCCAAAATTACTTCGCACTTTCGTTCGGCAATTGCCCCCATAACCGAAGACACGAAGAACAAATATCTCACCACCTTGCCCTCTTTCACCACCCGACAAGCGCCGTGCCGCTCCAACAATTCTGTCACCTCGCCCACTTCCCCTGTTTTCCGCTTCCTGTGTCGCCTTCTAAGCATCCTCAGATCATCCGCCCATGTGCCATAGAAATGTACTTATGTATTTCCCTACCACTTTTGAACACGGACATCATGGAAAACACGACTTTCTCCTACGCCTCCGTCAACTGCCTGTTTTGGGGATATAGCCATGGCTTCCCAACATAGAAATCATGACAATGACACAAATGCAATTAGCCTTGTTCCTAAAATTCACCCTTCAATATGAAAGAGAAATACGCCTTGCGATCCAGCATCGTGTAACTATGTAGCATTTATTATACAGTGAGAATAGTAACTTACCGTTTCCCACGAGCGTTGCTACGCTTGCCATGAACAGCGATACTGCACGTACTGGTACCGGTACTCCTCTGGCAGCTGCTTCCCCGTTTGCCGTTCATAATGCTGCCGAGTCACAGCCTTATGCTTGTAAAAACTGTGGCAGTTGCAAATTGAAATTTCTTTACATCGGACTCAACCTATTCAAATTTCAGGTAACACCTACGCACCAACAAACATAATCTCTCGGAATCATCCACCACAATGACGGTTACAAATGTGGCGCCAAGTGATTTCCAATACTTCTGTAGTCTACCACAACAACTAACTATGATAACTACATTAACCTTCTTCAATACAATCGAAGCGCTTCTACTTGTCTACCAAAATCCGCATCGGAAGGATAGTGGGTCAGCCTTGCCATCGCAGCCGCACTGTTCAAGTAGCTATACAATGCGGGAAATTATTTTCAATGTGCCATAGGTCATCACAGTGTTGGCCAGTTTGAACCCTTATGCATCAGCTGGTCCTGACAGTGTACATCCCGCCATAGTTAAGCCACTGGCTGATGTCCTTCAGTATCCCGTCGCGGAGTTATTCAACCCGTCTCTTCAAGAAGGCAAGCTGCCACGTGATTGGAAGGAGGCGACCATTGTTGCCATTCACAAAGGGGGTTCTAAGTCGGTGCCCCTTAACTATAGACTTGTTAGTTTGACCAGCATCATGCTGAAGTGCTTGGAAAAGCTTATAAGAAATAGGATCTGTGAGCACTTGACTGAGCACAATCTAATTAGAGCGAAACAGCATGGCTTTCTTAAAAAGAAGTCGTGTCTTACCAATTTATTGTGCTTTTAGATGAGATTACCCGATGTCTTGATAGTGGGATGTCGGTAGAGGTGTGCTATTTGGACTTCAGTAAAGCCTTTGACTCAGTGAATCATCGATTTTTAATTGAGAAGCTGACTTTTTTGGATTGCATCCTCAATTATTACTGTAGCTCTCTGAATGCTTGCGTGGAAGGACATTCAGAGTCAGGGTTGGGGAAGCGAGTTCTAATGTTGGCCATGCCTACAGCGGTGTCCGCCAAAGTTCGGTACTGGGTCCATTGTTGTTTCTTATTTTTATAGATGATCTGGATCCTATTCTTGAGGATCCCTGCTATATCTTCGCAGATGACTTGAAGCTAGTCAGTAGGGGAAACCGAGCGACATTGGCTAAGGACATCATCACTGTGGTGAATTGGTCGAGCCAATGGGATCTACCTCTAAATGCCAATAAATGTTAACTATTGGCCAGTATTGGCCGCGGAATTACAGTTCAGTCTGCTGTGGGATCTTTATCATTGCAGTGTACTGATGAAGTCCGCGATCTAGATGTAATTATAGTAAACAATTTAAGCTTTCCGCACAGTGTCGCCATGCTTCCAATAAAGCGCGACAAGAGTTACTTCGTCTTAGGAGGGCGCTGAGTAACACTAAAGCATAAGCATTCTTGCCGTTATATAAAGCAGTGGTTAGGCCACATCTGGAGTATTGTATTCAGGCCTGGGCACCGTACCTCCTTAGTGACGCCATTGGTATCGAAAAGATTCAGTAGCTTCCGACTAAGATGATCGAAGGTCAACGAAGGAAGTCGTACACAGATCATTTAAATAGCTTGGGATTATTTTCTTTGGAACGACGTAGATTGAGAAGACATTTGCTAGAGACCTTTAAGATCATTAAGGGACAGTGATATTAGTCCCACCCATCTGTTTGATTTAGCTATGTCGGACCACCTGCGCGGGCATCGCATGAAGCTCAAACACCATAGAGCTCGTTTGGACATCAGAGCAAAATTTTTTACGAACCGAGTAGTTAACATCTGGAATAAACTTCCTTCTGATTTAGTGGAATGTGAGTCTGTAGAAGCCTTCAAAAGGGGCTTAGATGAGTGTTAGTCTGTCCTTTTCCCCAGAGATATTGTAGTTGTACTGGAATATATAGTGTATTTTGATGCTGACACATGAAAGTGCAAAGATTGCTCTTGTTCTTGCTTCATTCCTTTGCAGAAGCAAGAAGAGTCAATCCAACGTCGAAGTGCCGGGGGCCGCTTCACTTACCGGCACAAGAAACTGGACGCTCGTTAGGCGAAAGCCTCTATCGTCCGTTCTACCTGACCTGACCCGACAAAACCCTAAATTTAAAGCGGGCAAACGTGCAGGAGAGGACTTTAGATTAATCAGCGTTAAGGGGATGAAAAGGACCATTTAAAACTTTTGATGAAGTGTTGTCACATGCCCCGAAATGCTTAGTAACAATGAAATCAGAGATTCTCCGGGCAATCCACTACACTAGGAAATGAGGTTATTGGAACGCACAACCAATGTGAAGTATTTCTGTAGAAGGCCTGATCTGTCGCCTAAAGCTAAGATGCTTGTCTTGTAAGTTGACGGCGCGGGTTCGAGCATGCGTAGGGACAGGATGACACTTGCAGTATTCTTGACGCACGTGCGACCAGTGGTGATTGCGCGGCAGCAAAGCGTCGGTGCTGCATTCCGGCTTACTGCTGCTACTTTTCTTTCCTTTTGTAGAAAATAAAGTAAACAGTATAGCTATTGAGGAAGAATACAGGCATTCACGGGTTTTTAAATTAGATAGCAAAGTACGGAAAGCGTTTTTAGTCTCAGTGCATGAAATGATAATATTCGCCTTGCGGTACGTTTCATCAAATTGTTGACCAAGGTAGATTTGGAGATAAATATGCACCAAATTATTTAACAATAGTTAGTTGGTTGTGGTCGCTTACAAGCAAGGAGTCATCATCATCATCATTATACACGTTAGCTAGAGGTGGGGAACACCTCAGCTACTGTGCCGCAAAACAAAGAAAGAAGGAGAGAGAAAAGAAAAAAACAACTGGTGCAAGCTGGCTGAGCTACCGGTAACGGATGGGCATCGTTCCGGTAAGCTACCAGCCGGCTGCTGTGCACCCAAAAAATTATGCAAAATTATATAAGGCTAAGTAATGAGATCGTAGTTGGAGAGGGGAGGCTAAGAGGGATGGGTTGGGACAAAGAATGAGACGTGTTTTCCCTAGCCAGACGTTTGTCATTGCGGAGAAAAGAGAAAGCTACCTCTTGGCATTTAGAAGCGTTAGGAATGAGGGATCAGGACGACGGCCACTACTGTAGCTCTTCCAATCCACTTTGTAGAGCCGTTGATGATTCAACAGTTGCAGCAATGCTGCCTAAGAGTACGTCGTCAGCGTACTTACACCCAATGTATTGAGAGAATAGAAGGAAGAATAGGATTGCTCCTTGTAAGACGCCCCAGCTGTCACTAAGTGAGGGATTTTTTACCGTTCAGCTAGGCAAAGTGTGGTTGGTTTACGAAGTAGTTGCTCACCAGGTCGTACGCTGCCGACTGAACACCATTCGCAGACGGCAGAATAAAGTGAGACATACCTGTCGACACTTCCAAATGGGGGGGGGGGGGGGGGGGGGGGGGGGGGGGGGGGGGGGGGGGGGGGGGGGGGGGGGGGGGGGGGGGGGGGGGGGGGGGGGGGGGGGGGGGGGGGGGGGGGGGGGGGGGGGGGGGGGGGGGGGGGGGGGGGGGGGGGGGGGGGGGGGGGGGGGGGGGGGGGGGGGGGGGGGGGGGGGGGGGGGGGGGGGGGGGGGGGGGGGGGGGGGGGGGGGGGGGGGGGGGGGGGGGGGGGGGGGGGGGGGGGGGGGGGGGGGGGGGGGGGGGGGGGGGGGGGGGGGGGGGGGGGGGGGGGGGGGGGGGGGGGGGGGGGGGGGGGGGGGGGGGGGGGGGGGGGGGGGGGGGGGGGGGGGGGGGGGGGGGGGGGGGGGGGGGGGGGGGGGGGGGGGGGGGGGGGGGGGGGGGGGGGTGGGGGGGGGGGGGGGGGGGGGGGGGGGGGGGGGGGGGGGGGGGGGGGGGGGGGGGGGGGGGGGGGGGGGGGGGGGGGGGGGGGGGGGGGGGGGGGGGGGGGGGGGGGGGGGGGGGGGGGGGGGGGGGGGGGGGGGGGGGGGGGGGGGGGGGGGGGGGGGGGGGGGGGGGGGGGGGGGGGGGGGGGGGGGGGGGGGGGGGGGGGGGGGGGGGGGGGGGGGGGGGGGGGGGGGGGGGGGGGGGGGGGGGGGGGGGGGGGGGGGGGGGGGGGGGGGTGGGGGGGGGGGGGGGGGGGGGGGGGGGGGGGGGGGGGGGGGGGGGGGGGGGGGGGGGGGGGGGGGGGGGGGGGGGGGGGGGGGGGGGGGGGGGGGGGGGGGGGGGGGGGGGGGGGGGGGGGGGGGGGGGGGGGGGGGGGGGGGGGGGGGGGGGGGGGGGGGGGGGGGGGGGGGGGGGGGGGTGGGGGGGGGGGGGGGGGGGGGGGGGGGGGGGGGGGGGGGGGGGGGGGGGGGGGGGGGGGGGGGGGGGGGGGGGGGGGGGGGGGGGGGGGGGGGGGGGGGGGGGGGGGTGTCGCTTATACGCCGTAACGGCGCTTCGCTGCCGCGCGACCACCACCAGTCGCGCGCGGGCTGAGTATACCGCGAGGACGCCACCCCTACGCGGAGTCGAACCGGTGACCTTATGGTTGCAAAGCAAACGTGCAGACCACTGCGGCCACCGGTGGGTTGGCGATGTTGTGGAGGGTGTAGAAAACGATACGGCGAAAAATTTCCGGAACTACGAGTCGAGGTCGTCATGTAGATGTGTCGCATAAAATTATACCATCAGATGACGGCAAAGGGTGCGGGGAGACCTTCAAGAAAGAGATGCACGGAGTTCCGAAAAGTACGGTCGTTTGATTGCGCGGCGGCCATAGCAGAAAAGCCGATTCCCTGCCCAGCAGGGCCGATCGCAGATACTCTTGAAAGAGTATCAGCGACGACGTTTTGTTGACCAGAAATATGTCGCGTATCAGTCGAGCATTAGGCAAGAAAATCCAGCTGACGAGGTCTCACTTGGTGAGTGTCCAACTGATTTTTTTTTCGGAATGCGTAGATAAGCAGTCTGTGATCGGTGAAGATACTGAAGGTGTTACCTTCAAGGGCGTGTCGGAAATGTCGAACAGTAGATAAACGGGCAGCAGTTGACGACTGAACTTGCTGTACTTGACTTCGGCAGGCTGTAGGCGCCCAGAGTAGAAAGCAAGAGGTTTCCAGCCTCCATTTGTATGTTGCTGTAGGACGGCGTCAATGGCGGTTTCTGATGCGTCAACAGCAACCCTGAGCGAAGCGTTCGGATTAAAATGACGAAGCATAACGGCTTTGGCAAAGGCTGCTTTTCTGGATTTGAACGCTTCTGTAGCAGCAGCAGTCAGTTCCACCCGAAAGCTTTTACGTCCACGAAGTAGGTCAATTATTGGACTTAACAAATTAGCACAGTGTGGAAGAAAACGTCGATAATAGTTGAGCACGCGGTTAGAACGGCGAATAACAGCTAAAGTAGTCAGGACCGGAAAGTCTGATGGGGAGGACTCTATCGTCTAGAGGCCGTGTGCCATACCAATCGAAATGGTGCCCAAGAAATTCGACAGAACCCCGCTGAAATATGCATTTTTTCGGATTGACTTTGATGCCGATAGCAGCCAGCCTAAAGAAAAGAATCTTGAGAAGTTCAACGTGTTGTTCTTTAGAAGCGCTGGTAGTTAGGATATCGTCAATAAATAGCGAGACGAAATATGGACATCTAGTGACTGAATGGATAAACAGTTGAAAAGGCTGGGATGCCTTGCGAAGGCCGAACGACATGCGCAAACATTCGAAGAGCCCAAACGGCGTGATTACGGCAGTCTTCGGTATGCCTTCCTCAGAGACTGGAATCTGGTGATACGCGCAAACCAGATCGATTTTCGAGAACACAAGGGTGCCGCAATGCTTGCAGTGATATCCTGAATGTGAGGAACAGGACAGCGGTCGGAAAGAGTAACGTTATTAAACGCGCGGTAATCACCGCCTGGACGCCAGTCTCCTGCCCTGTTGGACAACATGTGGAACGGCGACGCCCACGGATTTTAGACGGGCGAACGGTGCCTAGTTCAAGCATGTGCTCGAATTCTGCGCGAGTAAATTTTAGTTTGTCAGGGGTCACTTGCCTGGCTTTGGCGAAAACAGACGGACCATGTTTAACGATGTGATGTTTTGCAGCATCAGTGACGGATGGACACCGTGCCACTGCACCGGAGACTTGCGTGAACTTAGGAGTAAACATCTGACCGATAGTCGGGCTCGATTGATTGGTGTATACGGGACAGATTTACTCATATTAGTCAAAGTACCTATAACTGTCAGGTTTGTTTGGCGATCAACCAAACGGCGTTGCTTCGCGTCAACAAGCAACGCGAAGTGCTGCATAAAGTCAACGCCAAGTATTGGCGTCTGGACATCTGCGACGAGGATGATCCACTTAACAGAACGTCGTAGGTTTAAATTAAGCGTGGGCGAGCGTTGACCATACATGCGAATAGTGGTGCCGCTTGCTGCGCGCAATGAACTAGTCGCCTCTTCGATAACACCATTAGAATCACGTGGGATAACGCTGAATTCTGCGCCGGTGTCAACGAGATAGCGTACTCACGTACTGCGATCGGTCATAAAGAAAGTGCAGCTGGAACAGCCAACAACGCCCGTCACCCCTATGTGTTGGCCCGCCCGTTTCCCTGTGTGTAGCGCTTGAAGGAACAAGGCGGGCGAAACCATCTGGCCTGATAACCAAATCGCTTGTGGTACCAACAATAGCTTAGCTTAGGGGAGATTTCGAGCTTGGTCTAGGGCGATTGCGACTACTGGAACGACTTCGGCGGTTGGATCCGGACTGTGTTAGGTTCTATAGTCGGTTGGTAAGTGCCGCTACTTGAGCCCTTAGTTGTGTTACCATACTGGAAGTTGACTTAACTTGAGATACTTGGGCTTTGGATTCCCAGATACGGTCGGCAATGTCAGCGAGCTGAGAAAGAGGCGCATTGTTTGCATACAGGGTGTAATACATGTCACGTGGCAGGCGACAAGGCCACAGCTCCTTAAGGAAAGCGTCGCTAACAGAGAGGCTTAGCTAGAGCCTGCATCTTGTGCAGCAACTGGGAATGCTTTCGATCATTTAGCTCGGTTTCATTAAGAAGCTGCGTAGCGCGAACTTTTCAGATATTCGGAGAGCTCCAAGATGTCGTCGAGATCATCGAAGACTTGCGGAGGAAGCGCTGCGACAACACAGTGAAATTTGACACTATCAGACTTAAAGCCATTTAAAAAATAAATAAATAAATAAATAAACTTTTATTCTCGACCTTGCGAGACACACCTTTACAGGCATGATCATGTTTGGCTAACAGTGTGATCAAAAATGTACAAAAGTACATGTTTGGCATAACAGTGTATGTAAGTGTATGGGTGTATATACGTATGTAATTGTGTATGAATGTAGCTTGCGTCTTTGAATGTGCCGCAGCACTTTTTAACTGTTTGTTATCGTCAGGAATGTGAGCATAAGCGATTGATGTCCTTGGGTTGGACAACACTTTCCGGATATCCACAGGCCAGTGACTTTATTTCGTGGCGAGTCACATCCGCCACGTCGCAGTGTTGATAAGCAGACATTTGTGGCTTTTTATAGGGAGAACGCTTGCCAGGCGAAAACCCACCACGTCCTGGAACACTGCCGCCGAACTATTTGCTGGAACGGGTTAAACCCCAACCACCCAGCTGGCACCACGAGGAGGTTGTTAGGCTTCTATCTGATTAAACCAGGCCATAGGATCAGTCTTTTGGAAACGAGGGATTAGGAAATGGAACCCAATAACCTGTTTGGTAGAATATCGATGGATGTACTTCATGGTAAAAAGTTACTAAGCTTGTGAAAGTAATCCCAAATAGTAAAATATAAAAGTAGTAGGGTAGACAGAATAAGTCACCGGATCTGAAAACAATTATCTGGATCAAACTCACCAAAACTTGCACTTTTCGGGATCACCAATTATAGCGCGATGATTGCGCGCTATATATACGGCACGAGCCTAGACGGCCAACCAGAAAATACTGGTAGAACGCACAAAGGTATCCTAGAGAAAGTGTTTATTGGACGGGAGAAGCATTAGCTAATGCCCAAAATAGGGCGCCGGAAGAGAGATAGCTGGGGAGAATGTAGTTGGCGTCCAGGGCGTAGACGGAGCGTCGTTCGCAGTCGAGCCGCGCGCCAAAGGCCGATAACGCATTCGTGTTTCCAACAAACGGGAAAAACGGCCATACAGGCAACCAACCCAATTACATAATACATAACCCATCTACAATTTTAATATATTTTAGCATATCTTACACAGTGAAATAGGGCAATCTTCAGGTCACTAGAGCCCCGTAGATGTCGGTACTTAAGCGAGTAGAGGCCCAAGCAGTGAAGGCGTGAATAATCTAAGTGCTTGAGACCTAGGACTGGTTTTCTTGCTCGACGTTTTGGGGCCTCGAGTGTAACTTCTACCTTCAACAAACTGGGGCTCCAAGCCTGAATACTGAACTCCAAGTGGCGTCGAAGAAAAGGGTTGATTAGGCGGTGATTGCTGGGTCAATATGACCGAAGGAGCGCTTCAGAAATCACACCATGCGGTTTGCAGCAGCTGTTGCTTTCCGGCAAGAAGCGGATACGGAAAAGTTGGTCTGAGTAATGATACCCAAGTCTCTTTCGGCTGAAGTGATCTGGAGGACAGGCGCTTCCAGGTGATATATATGAGCAAAAGCACAGGGGCGATTAGAAAGGACGCGACATTTCGGAGCATTAAATGGAGGTTGTTTTCTATGAACCACTAATGTAACGGTTGACATCCGTCTGAAGTGCATGCGGGGCAGCGGACCGGGTCCCCCATATCTGAGTTTTGCCTAGCGGCGGCTTTGGTCCGGTAGATATGCAGGCCAACAGGAGATGTTGCCATTGGGTGGCGGTTAGTGTATATATGTATATATGTGTATATATATATGTGCCCCATGCTGAGGCTGATGTTGCATTCTGGATGCTTCTTCACCACAGTTGGGCTAAACCAACTTACACTTAAACTAGGTCTTTTTAAGCTGGCTAAATTTCATTCCACTTTATTTGGTTTGTTCTGCCTACCTGAATACTCTTCTACTAACTGGTCACGTTGCTTATATTAATTGCTCTTATCTTCGGTAACTCTGTTGCGCTTTGTAGCCTTTTTAACTAACTTGTGGACATTTTTTCCTTATCTCGGATTTGTTGCTAACCAAGTTACTTCATATGCTTATTTAGCTTAGAGTTATGCCACCGTATCTGTATGCATTATTGTATTTGTTTTATTTCATCTTGTCGTTCCAGGTGATTGGCTGTTGCTTGATATCCACGGTGTAGCTGCACTTGATGTGCATGTTGACAGGGTGCCTACCTGCCTATTACCCACTACCTCGTCCATACTGGCTCCAGGAGACAGTTGGTCGTTGCTGGAGGGGACGGGGTGCACGGTCCTTGTGGCCGCGCTAGGCTCAAAGAGTGGTTCCATGCACTCAGCGTGGAGCGGACTACGGTCCAGCCACCGCCTTGTG